AAAGGTGTTAACATTGAAGAAATTCTGGTACGTCTACCTAAGTTAAGTGCATAATACTAGCTTTGTGTTAATATAACATTGCTAATGGAATGAAATTGAGTAAAAAAGAGGCATTTACCCTTTTATCACTCATAAATTGCTGACAAGCACTGCAGTAAAACAACAACTCCTATGTAGTGCTCTATTTTCCTTCAAGTAGCCTGTTTCAATCAATTTTGGGGAAGTTGGAAGGATGTTGGGCAGGGTTCATGTATCTAAATGGAGATATGTATTTGAACAGCAGATAAATCAGGAGTTTACATATGACTGAGATACTAATGTCATAAACCAATCCTAGACAGAAATGCATAAAAAATGATATTCCAGTAACAGGACTGCAATCCTTAACAGTCTCACAGGACTCTCTAGCTGACTCAGGGGCACAGATCACATCTGATTATATGTCAGCCTAAGACATTACAGATACACTAGGGAAAACCATATTTCCATTGACATATGCTATAACCTCATCACTTAGCCTAGAAGCAGAATTCCTCCAGACATACAGAGATTCATAAAACCTTTTCTGAACTAGCAAATTATTGCCAGCCCTCAGTAATGGCGGGCTGAAAATACTCAGTAACTTGTTGCACTAAAATTAAAGGAACAGCTTGCAATGTGGAGCGCTACTCGCACAGAATCTGGCCCTTAAGGCTTTATGGTTCCCTTCTGTTCAAAAGACATCTCTACTGCTCCCTCATTTCTCGTTTTCCAAAATAACAAAAAAATAGCAGTTTCATATTTTTTCTTTTTTTAATGATGTCTAGTAGATGTGTTGTTTTCATTTGTAGCATATGTGAGGTGGCTTTTAGAAGTAATTTATTTTTGGTGGCAAGCTGCTGATGCTTGCACTCATGTTGACTGTTAGTAATTAACACCTTCTGGTCCACTATGGACAATTTCCCACTTACTGCTTTTTAAGGTGTTAAAACTAATCTCCACCAGCTCTACGTCCCATAGCTCCATTTCACTGATAGGAGGCTTTTCTTTCTGATAGCCAAGGCTTCTCTTTTCCTCAATTAATAATAACACATAACCCAAAGGAGTATCTGGAAGTGTCCTGACAAGATTTTGTTAAGCAGAATCCTCTGCTGATGAAAGGACTGAGCTCAGATAATATGTGTTAAAATCTTCTTCTCAACTCAGAGGTGTTACCATGGACAAATACAGGGTTTGGCTGTGAAAACAACAGGCATGAGAGGAAGTTACGTGAAGAGAAAGAACTGAGGATGTCCTTATTACCTATTAAATTTTTGGAATATCATCCAGATAGAACATAATGACATTCATTGCCTTACAATGCTGCATTAGTGACATTAATTTTATAGCATTGTTCTCATACAAAGAAAACTCCTAGAGAATTATATTCGAATCTCAGCACTGGTGCATTAATGAGCATTGGACTGGAAGCTCTAGTGGGTACGTATTTGCAGGTAAGTGGCTACTGGCATCTATGCGTGCCTGAGTGCGTGCATTCCTGACTGTGAAGAACCTCTGCACTCACCTCTTCAGGGAAATAATACGTTCAACTTAAATTTACATATACTCCAAAAAATTAAAATTAGCATTGAAATATCCAAGAGAGAGTTTTCTAGAGACCAGATTCAGCATTTAACAGAAACTTTAGAGTTCAACTGATAGAAAAGGTGATTGGATTTTGCATCAGAAAAATCTCAGTTTGGCCAAATTCTTTCCCTTTTCATGATCTCTACCTGAGTCATATCCACATATTAAGTAAGGCTCATATGAAAATCTCACAAGAACAGATGTCCTTTAACACTTCAGTTACTGCTTATTTCTGGTCAGGAGAACAAAATTTTAATAATGATGAAAAGCCTTAACCATACGGACTTCACTGCTTAAAACTGTTGAGTCCACTTTTATTGCCTTCAAACTGGTTCCCCATCTAGAGCTACAGGACAAGCTTCTCTTTCTTTTCTTCTTCTTTTTTTTTTTCTTCCCCCAACATGGGAATGAAGCTTAAAAGTATTCAGAGATTCTGGCGCTTGCAGGACTTGTGCATCTGCTACACTGCCTGACGACATCTGGATTCATTGCAAGGTAGGCGTCCTAATCTTTGCACCCACGTAAAGGACTGTGATAAAATTATTTTGGAAAAAAACCATCTTGAACCACGACATAAAAATGTAGTGGAAGCTGCTGGTGCCCATGCACTACCTTTAGCTGCTGGAAGCTGGGCATTCACTGCAGAAGGCTTTAGTCAGAAGAGCTCAGGAATCAGGAATCAGGAGTTTTAACCATCTGCTAATGATGATTTTCAAATTCTACTTATTCAGTGTTAGTCAGAGAGTTTATATGGGGCAAGAAGATGAACAGCAAGGAAAGGCTGTCAAAAGGGATCCACAGTAAATCAAAATTTGGAAGAAGTCTCTAAAGAAAGAGGAGTTCCTTATATCTCAGGAAATTATAGTTTTCAGTCCTACAGTGAATTAAGGGTTTTTTTCACCACCCCAAGTGACACCACCTTAGCCAGTACATTTCTGCAAAACCCCAGAGATTAGGAAAGCAAGCAAAGAAAAAGACAAAGAGATGCAGTTATTTTTGACTACCAGCCAACTTATGATGGTTTGATTTCTGAAGGAGAAAGAGGATAATTTAAAGAATCTTAACTCTTGCACAGAGTAGGAGAACCACACTTGAAAAAAAAAGCCTTCTGATGTTTCCAGCACTCAGAACAGAATCATCCCATTTAAAATTAATATCATTATTATGTGATTTCCATCTGTGAACGAAGCCAAACGATTAGAGATGCTAGAAAAACTGCCTTAGTGGAACAAACACAGATAACAAATTTGAATAAATACACAAGCAAAAAGACAATGTCAGGCTCAATCACTTGGCAATATTAAATGTTGAGTAAATGAGTTGGCTGTGTAATGCTACACCATCCAGCAAGAATGTTATGCTGAGTGCGTGGATCACCACTTTCATTGCTTCTGTAGCCAGTTTTGTTCTGGATTTTTTTGGACCAAACCATCTTTCAGTTTTTTGACAGATCCTTTTCCAGACTATTCCACTGGTACCCTTTACGTTGTGCTCTGGTTGTTCATACAGCCCATATTCAACCGCAGGCCTGTTCAAACATCTTCCCTGACTCTCCTCACCTTTCCAGAAAATATTTTTCGCATATCCCTGACGCTTTCCCCATTTGCTTCCCAAATCTATCTTACTGGCACAACAGATAGCTCTGACAAACTCTCTTTAGTCTACCACTACATTTTTAAACAGAGTCAGAAAATTATTCATAAAGTACAGTTTTAACATGTATTTTTACATGTGTAAAACAGAATGCTTGATAGCATTTTTGAAATGTTGATATATATAAACTTTATTCTAAATAAACCTCTGTAATGCACAGCAGTATGCTGGCCCATATATCCTCTCAAAAGCTAGCATGTTCAAATGAGTCAAGTCATAGGGACTTGGCTTCCACAGTGTCTAAATCAGTACCAAGAAGGACAGAACTTGTGAACATCTAGGCAATCCTACACTCAGAAGAATTGTTTTTAAAGACAGTTCTCCAGAAAGATGCTACTAATACAAGTTTTAAACCTTTTGCAGAGCAAAGCATGTGGTGATGTTTTCCCCTACACAAACTGAAATACCAAGACAGAGAAACACTGCCTGAGCAATCTCTCCTTATATAAGACCTGACATTCCCTCCACAGATTGGCCCTCATTGCCTCTGAAATATGTCAATGAAGACCAAGGTTTATAAAACTTAAGTTGTAACACATTTAAGCGCTTTGTGCTGGAGTACAGTGGTATATTTTTGACTGTTCAGTTTTTGCATGGAAATTAACTCCTTTTTGTTTTGGAATGCTTTATAGTATTGCATCACAAGACTGTACTATGAGTGAAGAACTTAAGCTTCAGGGTTGTTCCCAAATCATTAAAAGATGTAACATCAAAGAACGATCCAAATATATTTGTTCCTGTAAGAAAACGTGAACCTCTCAGTATGCTGATAAATCTACCACAGCCTAATACATTTTGCACTTCTTTTCCTCCAAAGAGCCCTTCCCTCCTTATGTCAGGAGAGCCGAGTCAGGAAAGCACATGATGGTTTTGCTCTTTTATTTTGCTTCTAATCTACGTGTTCTGTGAAGGTGAATAAATAAAATTATTACAAAAAAAAAGAGTGGGTGAGAAATGTACTTAAATGCATTCACCTCCCACACCTCATCTCGACATGAAATCTCAAGGAAGGGAGGGATGGGCAGGAAAGGCACAAACCCCCTGTATTATATATAGACTGTCAAACAGAGGATCATTTGATACACAGTACCGAAGTGTACTTGAATGTGTTTCTCACTTCAGAGGCCATATTGGCTACACAGGCCCTGTAGCAAAGCAGTAGTAGGGCCGTAGAGCTGCTCTGCCCACACAGCACCCCAGGGAGACAGCACCCCAAATTCCCTCCTTTCATCTCCTACTTCCCAATGGCTAAAAACTGGCTACTGTTTTTTTCTAACAATAGGTGAACTACTGAATTGCCATGATCAGCAAGCTAGCTGATCATGAACTAGCAAGCTCTTCTTTACTTGCATCTGAGCTCTCCTTAGCCTATATATGATGTAAAGCATATTAATATTTTCCAGAAAGGCAGTCAAATCCAGAACGAACCCTGAGCGTGTGGTTGTGGTGCCAGAGAGGCTGGGGTAAGAGGAGCTTTCCCATAAGAACAGTTAGGAAGTCAGAAGTACTGATGTTTTTCTTTGGTTTTAGGTAGCACCACTATCCTCAACATCTAGTGATTCATTCTTTGCTAATGAAGATTTGTTGGGTTTTTTTCAGTTCATCCAATATGTATTACTAGGTAATGTAAACATGTAACAAATATTAATGGAATATGTGTGTAAATCATATTGCTTGTTGTGGTTCTACAAAAGCCTTTACCCTTGTTGTTCTCTGCAAAACAGTTTCAGAGAGGCACTTACCTTGTCTGACAGCTAGTGTTGTTGTGTAGACCAAGAATAGAAGGATATAATTGAGGAAGCTCTGAAAAACAGGTGTGTTGGCATGGAAATCTTCTGACAAATACTTGCTTGTGAGACCAATGCCACAGATAAGGAGGGAGAGTACCTGGCCAAGCGCCACAGACAGCAAGAGATCCCTAAAAGGAATGAGAAAAACACAGACATAAAACACTCGGCCTCCTTGCCAAGGAGGAAATACTCATCCTCCTCCAGGAATCACGTTCAACAGTGCTGACACGGGAAGACACACAATGCTTCAGTCAATGGGGGATTTGCTGGGTGCAGCCGACATAACATTTCCATTATTTCTGCTCTTCTCACGGGCTTAAACATCGCCCAAACACACTAGCTTTTATTCACGTATTAAACAACAGCAGATGGTACATCTCTACCATTTAATTTCACATTTCACGTTTCACAAAGGATAAATGATAGTTTAAATCAACCAAAATACAGCATTTCTTCCTTCGAGCATCTTTCTTAACAGAAAGACCCAGGAGTATCATTCAGACAGAGTGGGAATTCCAGCTCTTCCAGGATTTAGTAGCCACAGAGATAAAGCAGAGAAAGGATTTTACTGTGTTTCAGCATCAACATGAATTTACCATATAATTTCCTTCCTCTCCTTTCATTTCCATTTCATCGTATAAACTATTCTTTCTATCTACCATGCAAATATATCTATCTTTTCTTTCATTTTTGTCACCATTTACCTCCCTTTCTGTTTGGTGGGAGTGGAAAGTTCCACATTTTCCCTTCCTGCCTCCTTCTGGTTCTTAAAAATCTATTTTCTGGTTTGGCTTCTTGCTTTAATCTATTTTTCCTGACTTTGATCTCCAGTCTCCTCTGTATTCCTCTGTTACAATGTTCCCCATTCTCCCTCCCCACAGCTCTCTGATAGTTGCTCCTTTTGTGCATGTTCTCTATCTTCCTCTAGTTGTCTCCTCTTAAGAAACCACTATATCAGAAAGCTCACACTTTTACAGTGTATATTATTTTCATATCCTTTCTTCAGTCTTCTCAGTGATATCCTTTCCCCTTCCACCTATCTTTATCGCTTTTATTTTTCTTGCAGAATTTATTACCTAACTGCACAGTCCAATTCAGTCCAAACAATCCTTCTTCTCCAATTTTTGACACAGGATCTCCTATACCCACAGCACAGGAATATGTGTATTTTCAAATTACCCTTAAGAGGTTTCCAAGGTTCCCCATGTGTCAGTACTTTCATGCTGAGCAGGCCCGCCCCACTGCTGCACCTTCCCCTTGCAGAAGCATGAAACGCAAAAGTGTTGGCCTGGAAAAGGAGCAAGCACAACGACTGCAAGGGAGAGCAAAAGGACATCCAGGTTGAGGGAGGTGGTTCTGCCCCTCTACTCCACTCTTGTGAGACCCCACCTGGAGTACTGCACCCAGTACAACAAAGACATGGAGCTGTTGGAGCGAGTCCAGAGGAGGGCCACGAAGCTGGTCAGAGGGATGGAGCACCTCTCCTATAAGGACAGGCTGAGGGAGTTGGGATTGTTCAGCCTGGAGAAAAGAAGGCTCCAGGGAGACCTTATAGCAGCCTCCCAGTACCTGAAGGGGCCTACAGGAAAGATGGTGAGGGACTGTTTATCAGGGCCTGTAGTGACAGGACAAGGGGTAATGGGTTTAAGCTGAAGGAGGGTCGATTTAGATTAGATATTAAGAAGAAATTCTTTACTGTGAGGGTGGTGAGGCACTGGAACAGGTTGTGCTCAAGGCCAGGTTGGATGGGGCTTTGGGCAACGTGGTCTAGTGGAGGGTGTCCCTGCCCATGGCAGGGGGGTTGGAACTAGATGATCTTTAAGGTCCCTTCCAACCCAAACCATTCTATGATTCTATGATTCGATGACATTTAGTCCAAGCCCAACTGGCTGCTGCTGTCACTGTCACCAGCCCACAGAAAAGAGGGGCTATAGGTCCCTGGGGGAACCCACGGAGGAGAGGGGACAGCGGGAGAGAAGCACGCTCTGCAATCTCTCATTAGAGCCTTGTACGAGGAAAGGGTATTAGGCAATCCTAGGAGAGTAGAGTAAGGAGGGCACTCTGCTCAGCTGTAATAACATTTCATGTGTGTTCTCCTCTGCCAGACGGTTTAAAAAAATGGCTTCAAGGCTGCTTTGCTTTCCCCAACAGATTTCTCTGACCTAGGCTGTGCATATTTGGCAGCGATGAGCATTTGTGCTCCTGCAACAACTTTCCTGGTAAACTCAAGTGCCAGATTTGTTTCCCTTTTTCTCACAAACAGGCCTCCCACTAATGTGTCTCGATGTCAGTCATGGTGTGATTCAACCAAACAGACACTGAAAGCACAGGAGGCTGGGTAGTTATATTCAGCGAACATACCTTGCTGACAAACAGCCTGACACAGATAGTAAGAGAACAAACTTTATTGTGCTAAACCCCGTGTTTTGACGGGAGACTGCTGGATAAGTAAGACTCCACAACTGCTGCCTTCGCTTTCACATTACTCACTCTATTGTGAAACATAACCACAGGAAACAAACATACTCCATGGAGGTGACATCTGAGACTACGATGCAAATGCTGCCAAAACTATGGATCCTCAGTTCCTGCCATTACCTGCTATGCAGTTGACATGGAATAGGAAATTTGAATAGTGACTGCAATTTAAATCCACATATTATTTTTGTAAACTTGATTACAGTTCTTCATTTAGTTCGACAATGTTTCCTATATCCTTCTCCAACAATGAAGTTTCACGCAGGGCTGTCCTCTTGCCTACTGCTGGTTTTGTAGTTTTATTTTATTAGTAAATTAAATGTGTGCAAATCTGTATCTCTAAATGTGTTGCCTGTTTTCCGGGGGTTGCAGGTGGTTATTAGCTGTTCTCTGTATCTCACTATGCCCATGAGTGAATGTTGTATTACATCCATTGTGGGACTGCATCTGTTCTGGAAGGAAGCATCCTGGACCCTGCTTAGCTTTACAAAAAGCTAAATATATACTCTCTCATTAAAGGATTTTCCCAATAATATATTCCTTGCTTATATGGCAGTTAGCTATTGGATATAACTAATCATTACATTTTTTCAGACTGGTGGGAAGTTTGATGAGGTCCTATAAAATGTATAACTTTTTTATCTCATTTTTCTATATTCAGGTGTGTCAACAGGCCTAACCAGGCAGTACTGACCTCTGCATTAAAAACCCAACCGACAAAAAATGAAAAATACCAGGTAATTTTTCAAGGCTGTATATGATAACTCTAGCCCTCTCTGAAGTACATTTTGGTTCTGTCATTGCCATTTTGCTATTTATAAAACAGATGTATTTTTTTCATAGATGATTCTTTGGCAAGTCATTCAACCACATCTACAAGTGGCAGTTTTCCTAAAGAGTTCAAACAGCTGCCTACAGTCATATATATATATATAGCCTGTCCTCAGCTTCTATATTTTACATTTCATAAACATACAACAAGAAGGTAATTCAAGGTAATTCAAATTTTATGGTGCTCTTCCTAAGAAGTCATTTTGAATAGCCTTCTCTGTCTTCTGTCAGTAACAAAATATGTCAAAAATTCCATTCACTATTATATTACTGAAGTCATCAATGAAGACAAAGGGTAATTAGGAGTTCAGCAAAAACAGACACGGACAAGAATCAAGACTATGAACCTGAATACCTCCAAGTCCATAGATAAAGGTTGGATGTGGATCAAGAGTATAATCTCTGTAGCTTGAAACAGCCTTTGAGTAAAAATCATCTTTTGGATAACAGCAGAATGCAAAAAATGCAGAAAATTACTTTCTGGAAGACCAGTGCAAGTAGTCCTGTCAACGCCACGGGCTTTCAAAACACTGACTTCATAAATATATTGAATATGTACTGCTTGTCTCTGATTTTTGCACACATTTGGTATTTTTAATTATGTAAGAAAACTCATTCTCAAATCAAGCTGTTGTGTTCCTTCTCCAATCAGAATTTAGTTAAACATTTCATAGATGATATATGACATAGAAAGATACATTTCTTTTATTCTTATATTGTCAGTGCAAAGAGTAGTATAAATTAGATGTTTAAGCAGAACTAATTCAAATGTCCATTAACTGCTCCGACTTCAAGCAAATATGATCCATTAAATACAGTATAGTTATTCCTAAGACTGTTCATGCCCACGTTAACTCTCCTGCTATACCAAAAAGATATGTCCACTACAGACAGGAACAACAAATAGCGGCACAGAAGATTTGGTATAATCCCTCACTGGTGTAGATTGAAACTGACACTAACTACCACCATGGAAAACAGGTGAAATGAATAAATAAGAGAAACCAAAACACAAGATCAATAAAATGCTGATTTTTGTCTTGGATGAATGGAAGAGACCAACTCATCTCTCTCCAAGCAGAAAAGTAGAAAGAAATCTTAAATTATTTTGTAATTAGTGACAATGTTGGCAGCAACAAAGAATACAATGTTTGGAAAACCCTAATAACTGACATAAGATGCCTGAATTGTAGAGAAAATGCCTGATAGTATCATCTGTATTTCATTTTTCCTGCCAACAATGATGTAATAATACAAGACTCTTAGCTCCTGAGCCTTTAATACCTGGATAAGAATAACAACATACTCATTCTTTTTTTAAGAAGAAGCAAGCAAACATTGAAAAGAGGATTTCAATGGCAGTGGAAAACCTACTACTTCCTTTAGACAGAGCAAAAAGCAACTAACTCACTGCTGTCATCTCTGGCACTCCTTAGTATCTTTCCTAAATATCATAATACCGTTGAAATACACAACATGGCTCCTATCTGCAACACTTTCCCTGTTGGTTTTCATATCCTCCACCACTCAAAGACTGGTACAAAGGATGATTTCTTCCCTAAGCCTTTGGTTTATCACGCTGGATTCAGCAGTACAATCATTCACTGAGGAAGCAACATTCATACGTATCTTGAAGAAAAGTTGTACGGTTTGAGGGCCCCTTCGAAGAGAACACCAAAAAGTCTCACTACAAAAAGCTTTAGAAAAGTGAGGCTTTCTGCTTTTCAGGGTCCAATTTCTCATTAGTTGAGTGTTATTCTATTTCTCTACTTGTATTCTAATTTAAATCAAAATAAAGAAATTCTTCAAAAATCCCATT